GGTGCCGCTCGCTGGCAGCCGGCGCGTCTTCCCTCAGGGGCCTGGCCGGAGCGGCGAGCTGCGAGGGAGAAGGCTTGCAGCCGCGGAGTTCTTGGGGATGAAGCGCTTCAGTGCTCCAGACCCGAGCTGGAGCAGATGAGGAGGAATCTGGGAAACACCCGTGGCTTCTGGGGTAACGTCCAGAGTCACCCGTCGAACGTCACAGGCACCCTTGGCACCTCTTTTTGGCAGCGTGTATAAGTGTTGACCGTGTTAGTTGGTTACTGTCGTGCACAGGAATAAGCTTTCAGATCTGCTCGTTTTATCGCCTCGCTGTCTCTAAAACAACGTGTGGTGATGAGGGGGGGAGAAAGAAAAGATACTTCACTGCGTAACGACCGTTTTGGTCTACCTGCTGGAGGTGTGCAGCGTGAATCAAGCCATCTCCTGAAACTGAAGTTGAAAATCTCTTGTGAAGTAACTGCAGTTGAATACAAGAAAATTGCTTACGCCTGAAATCAGTTTGCAAATATCAAAAGTAACAAAAAAGGATACAAATTAATTAGTAATTAGAAATACCAACCTAACTTTCTATATGATAGATCAATAAAAAGGCTTTAATAACACCAGGAGGTTTTTAATTAGTTAAATAACCCTTTCCTAATCTAGTCAGCTGTTAATTTCTTTAAAAGATACACAGACACAGTATGTACTGATTGTTACTGCTCGATCGTTTTACCAAAGGGTACCTTGCTTAGTCTGTTTCATTTCAGGAAGTGTGCAGAGCTTTTCAGAATGCTTCCTCTGTAATATAAAGTGTATTATTCTGAGCATAATAATCTCCAAATGTAAATGATTTAAAAAGATAGAGCATCATGTTTTACGTAACTATAATCATACCCCATTTAATGACTGGCTTTAGTGCTATAATTATGTTCTTATTTACAGAAGAGTCTGCAGCTGTAGAGAAGAAGAGGAAGCCTCTTAACAGACTGAACATTCATTCTGCATTCTGGATTTTGGCATCAATTGCCGTGACATACTACTTTGACTTTTTAAAAACTGTTAAAGAAACTATTCAAGCACATAGGTAAGGTGCCTCTTCTTACAAAGGAAGTTGTGTTTTCATCTTACAATCATACTCAGTTTGTTACATCTGAAACACTGTGTTTGAAGTCTTGGATAAACAAGATCTACAACAGGAATAGAGAGCTCGGACTGTTCTGCTTGGAGAAGAGAAGGCTCGGGGGGGATCTTATCAATGCATATCAATACCTGAAGGGAGGGTGCAAAGAGGATGGAGCTGGGCTCTTTGCAGTGGTGCCCAGTGACAGGACCAGGGGCAGTGGGCACAAACTGAAATACGGGAGGCTCCATCTGAATGTCAGGAAACACGTTTTCACTGTGAGGGTGACCACGCGCTGGCACAGGTTGCCCAGGGAGGTCGTGGAGTCTCCATGCTTGGAGATACTCAGAACCTGTCTGGACACGGTCCTGGGCAATCATCTCTAGGTGACCCTGCTTGAGCAGGGGTGGTTGGACCAGGTGACCACCTAAGTCATTATTATTAAACTAATTCTGAAGTATATACAACACTTACATTTTTTCTATAATTATATTTTTTCTTTAGGCTCTACTGAGCCATCTGTGTACGTGCAAAACTTGAATAGCAGGATGTTTTGATACTGTACCTTCAAGTTTACACTTAAATACAAGAAATCACTGCCTGTTTTGGTGGAAGTGTTGGGGGGTTGATTTTATTTTAATCAGAAAAAGCTGAAATTCATCTTTAAACATCAAAATTAATTCCTCTAGAAGTTCTCTAGACTTGAGTAGACCAGTGCAAGATTAGTGAAATAATTTTTATGAAATAATTTATATTTCTGTTCCTTTTCTATTAAGTTATTTTAAATGATATTGATGGATGTTAAATATTTTTAGATAGCTTCACCTGGAAGTGCTTTTAAAACTCTCTCATTGTCATTGTCATTATTATTGTATCAATATGTGGAAGCTGAACAGGGCTTGTTCTGTACTGTGATGTTCTCTGGAGCTGCTCTTCCAGACTGATCTAGATACACCCTACATCCATTTGGCTGTGGATACAAACTAGTGACTCCAAGATGAAGCTGAGGTCAGTTGTGTGAGGTTCAACAAGGCCAAGTGCTGGGTCCTGCACTTGGGTCATAACAACCCTATGCAATGCCACAGGCTTGGGGAGGAGTGGCTGGAGAGCTGCATGGAGGAAACGGACCTGGGGGTGTTGGTTGACAGCCGGCTGAACATGAGCCAGCTGTGTGCCCAGGTGGCCAAGAAGGCCAGCGGCATCCTGGCTTGTATCAGGAATAGTGTGGCCAGCAGGAGCAGGGCAGTGATGGTGCCTCTGTACTCGGCACTGGTGAGGCTGCATCTCAAATAATGTGGTCAGTATTGGGCCCCTGACTACAGGAAAGACATTGAGGTGCTGGAGTGTGTCCAGAGAAGGGCAACAAGGCCCTTTGTGGTGTGGTAGTACAGTGTATCACTCACAAGGTCTGTTGCAGTGCATTTCTAAAATATTTGGAGGAAAAATAAATGACAGGAATGATGCATTGCAAAATTAAACTCAGTTAGTTGTGTATATTAGACAGCTTTAGAAGGGCAAAAATGTTTTGTAAAAGTAATTTAAGAAAACAAAAAGATAGGATGTCTAGGCCGATCTGTATAATTAACAGGTTCTGTCTCTAGCCTAGAATGAAGATTAATGTGCAAACTGCAGTGTGACTGTGCTGAACATCCTTTCTCCCCACAGCTGGTGGTTTGCCTCTGGCAGTTGTTTATTGGCTGCATGTTTATCTGTTGCCTTTTACTGCATACTGTATCTTGAGTGGTATCGTGGAATTGAGGACTACGATGCACAGTATCCAGCACTGATACCTATCACAACGGCTACCTTTATTGCAGCAGCAGTTTGGTAAGTTTGAAGGCTGTGTACAGGCTTGTGCTAAACCTGTGCAAATCTAACTATGTTAATGGGCTCATTTTATAAAAAGTATAATTTCTGTAATTTTACTAAATGTATTGGTGACAGTTCTGCGTGGCTTTTCTTCCACTTTCAACATTCATCCACAAAGCAAGAGCTGCAACTGTCGAAACTGTATATTAAGTGTACTTCAAGATGTACTGGATCTTTTCTGTCTTGAAAATTTATGGGAAAGCCGAAGACCTCAGCTTTGTTAGTGTAAATTGCTCACTTCTGACAACTACTTGTGAGTCTTACCTTTGTCTTAATTTGTGTATTCTGCAGCTGAGACAAAAATAGGTCTGATCAGTTTCTAATACAGAGTTCTTCATTATGAAACAATCTATAAATAGCAAACATATACTGAAATTTATACTTCTAACTATTGTTATATGAGTTTTAAGGGTTTATACGTTGTCAGAGAACGGTACTTCTAGTAAGAGCTACTTTCATTATGAGATTATAGGAGTCAGAATTGAGCAAATGTGCATGTGAATGAAAAAATCGTGTATGTATATGCCACTATATTTATTTGCTCTCTGCACAAAAGCTGGTTCTCTCTTGAAGTTTAGATGTTGTGTCTGAATAACATCAGTCAGTATTTTTGTTGCAGTGCTGGGAAAAAAAAGGAAGGCTGAAGAAGAGAAAGGTTCCCTATAGCTTAGAATTAGTCAAATCTATAATCCTTTTAATTCAGTTGTAAAGTAAGTTGGTTTTCCCCCTTTCTCTTCAGTTAACTCAAATCTACTTGTCTTGGAAGTAAAAATTAAGGTTTTTCTCAGCCACCATGTATGCCCGTGGAAGAATCAAGAGTAGTTCATTTTCAGGTGCTTCATGTGCAAGGGTTCTGAAAGTAAAAAGTATATTTACCCTTGGTGGGACTGAGTGGCCTTGCTCGGTGTGAAGTCTGAAGTTACGTGATGAATTGTCAGTAAATAAACAGTAAACTAAACGACCAATTTAATAAGTAGATGCTGGGGTCTTTTCATTTTGTTTTCTCTCAAGTCAGAAAGAAACAAGTATTTTTTCCAGGCTGAGTAAATCTCATTTCCTCTTGCACCATGTTTTCTTTGTGTGGCTGGTATTTCCATAGCATGAGAATTGAACTCACCAGTAACTTCCTGCTTTTATTCCCAGTTTCAACATTGCCTTGTGGCCTGTCTGGTCATTTATGACACCTTTGTTGCTCTTCATTCAGTTTATGGGTGTTGTGATGCTTGTGTCACTCCTGGGATAAATCCTTCAGGTAAATAAATGAATTGTTTAAGCACATAAAATTACTTGTCTGCAAAAAAAGTTGCATGAACTGCTTTGTTAGACATTTAAGGATTATAAGACCATTTAAGGATTCCTTCTCTATATTTTGTGTACACTTTTAGAATACTGACATTTTGTGGCATATAGAGTCACCGATGAACATGCAAGTATCCTAAGCGGAAGAATATCCTTTCTCTCTTCTCTAAGATTCCGTTTTAGCCAGTGAAAAGAAGTGATTAATGAGAATGGATGGTTGGGGAGAGTAAAGGCCAAATACCTGCAGCTTTTAGCCAGACTGGGAGAACTTCTTAGTGAGGTTGCTTGACCTGACAGTAAAAGGGAGAAGCTGTTAACATCCATATGCAACTGTCTTCTCTCTCTCTTTTTTTTTTTTTTTAATTCAAATTCTTTGTCTTATCTTTGTCTTTAAGTATGCTGGCTTCATTTTCTGAAAATGTCCGGATCAACCTGCTATCTGGAAAACTGCCATATATCAGGAGTTTTTTGTTCTCCCTAAAAAACAACCTTTCAAAGGCAAAATCAGATATTTTGTTGACTTGAAAAATTTGTTCTCAATAACTGCCACATTTAAAAGGGGTTCTTGCATCTTTTGGTAGGATATGCTATTCAAATGAATCCTGTGAATTTGAAAAAGCTTAAGGAAGACATCAAAGACTGCTCAGTTAATAGGGTAAGGGATGTCCCCTATATCACGGGCGTCTACATCATCCGGTGAAGTGACTCCTTCAGCAGGTCTTGTTTGCTGTACTTCTCAAGGGAATGTGGGGAAGCCTCTTTGGTTTTGCCGTCACAAATCCTTCCCAGTGAAGAGGTCCCCCGGCATTTTTAAGAGTGCAGCAAGAAGAATGAGACAGTTCTGGATTTTGAGTGTAGCCTCTTGTAGTGCCAGAGTCACAGGCAAAAAATATTTAATGGCTGGGACAGTGAAACACAGCTTGTGTTTGCATAAGCAAAATGAAACTAGTGTTGCATTTTTTTCTCTATTTTCTATATATGAAGTAACCTGATTTTTTAAGGAGGTAATTAGCTTAGGTCGTACTCACGACAATACCTATAGACTTCTGAAAAATACAGTACTTACTTCAGAACCTCCTTACTGTATTGTGGGAGCTTCAGTCACACTGGTTAATGCAAGCTTCTTCAGATCCTGTTTGTTCGTTTTGTCATTAGCTATGTTCTGTCTGAGCACTGGAAGGATGTGGGGAAAGGACGCTTTTCAGTGTGTTAGAGCTACCGGTATTAACAAACTAAAGCAACTATTCTGCATTAATTTGTACTTAGAAAGTAACAAGTACAAGTGAATTACAGATATCCTGAACAGATGAAGCTTATGAAAACATTCTGGTTTTCTATATTAACAGCCAAGTAAATTCTGTTATACAGAATTTATTAATTCTGTATTAGGCCAAATAATTATTGGCTGAATAATTAAGGCCAAATTACTACTTGCTGATGCAAAATCATTAACTAATCAATATCGTATTAGGACAAGGTACAGCTTGTGTAGTACATACAACCTTACAGCATTTTTGTTAAAGCTGGATTTGTTTTTTCTTTTCTTTCAGCTTCATGTGAAAGACTCAAGTAACTGTTATCCTGGAAAGTGGATGTCACTTCTGTTACATTCCACTACTTTTATTGTTTCTAATACTGCTTGTTTGCTCTAACAGATACCATAATTCTTAGACTACCTGATTTATAAATCAAATGGACGTAACCATAGGTCAGCCCGTGGCTGGGAAAAAACGACTGACTAGTGAATAATTGAAAGGTGGATAGGTTTTACCTCTCTTAGTAACACAAAGTATTTCATCACTGCTTTGTAAAGCTTTTATTCATATTTCAATATTAAGCAGATGGGTAATAAGTCAGTTATATAGTCCAAAATCCTATCTGGGTACTCCAGAGGTCACCTAGTCCAACTTCCAGCTCAAAGCAGGTTTGTTGTTTCAAAAGTAATTGACACTTAATAGAAGTGTTGTGGGTTTTTAATGCTATATTCTTTACGTTTGAATTACAGCTAAAATGTTGTTATCTGAAATGTATGTTTGTACTTGTAAATTTACTCATAGACAGCACAGGAGACATTTCTTGATCTATTGAATTTCTAATCATATGTGTGTTTTCATGTAGGAAATATTTTATTACCTAATCTCTTGACTTCAGATCTGCTAGTGTTTGGAAAAAAAAAAAGGAATGGATAGGAGTAAGGGCCTAGAAAGCTGGTTGATGTTTACATCACTGTTAATTTGGCAGTGCCATCAGTGAAATAAGTAGATTCTATTTGTGCTGATACAGTTTGTCCACAGCCAAAGATGGATAATCAAGCTGTGAATAACCAGCAATATAGTGAACAATATGAACACTACACAAGAAATTAGGAGCGCGAAGTAAATTCTTTTGATATATGCACTATTTTTCAGTATTCAGGATGTTTTTCTTCTGTAAATTAACTTTTCATTCTTAGCAGTGCCTGTTAATGAAGTTGCCATTTTTATTCCTCAGCAATAAAGAGGCTGATATTAACTTAAATGCTATTAGTCATACACAGTTGGGAAAATTAAAACATTGTCTGTTCACCTTGGCTGAGATACTGAAGTGTCTGGAAACCTGGGCACCATCTGGTTGCTAGACCATTTTATATAGGTCTTTGTGTTAAATACTTTCACACCCACACCTTTTGGAAAATAGGGAGAATGTAGGAGCTGGATATTGAAAGTTGTTAACATTTACTCCTTGTGACTGTTGCTTGAAGTGTGGACTGTTAGAGGAGACTCTGTTCTTCATTCTGACTTTCAGAGAGTTGCTGAACACACAATACATGAAATGTTTAGTAATGAGAAAGATAGATGTTGTCTTAAGCTGCTACTGTTTCATTAAGGAAAAAAGTTGCTGTTGGTATGCAATACAAAGGATCAGTCATGCCAAAATAAAATATGTTTAGAACTACTGTTAAGTAGGTTGTAGATTAACTACTTGATTTGTTTAAATGTAATACTTTGTGTTTTCCAGAACCAATTGTACTTCATGTCTTTGAAAGGCAATTTAACATTGCTTATCTTCAGGTCTTCATGTTTTAACAGATTTTAAAAATTTTACGTCTGCATACACAGGTACATTTGAGTAACTTTGTTTGTTGTGGTATTTAAAATGCACTGTTGCTCAGGGATGGTAATTATCACTATATTTTTATTTGTCAACTATAGAAATGCTCTAGGTGTTTTAAGTTGCCTTGTACTCTTGAATTAAAATTACTATTTGCTACATGGGTTTTCAGATTTATTCTTCGGGCCATCTTAATAAACTTCATATAAAAGTGATCAAGTATTGTTCAATACTTAGTTGTTTAACTAATTCCACTGTTCTTGGGGGCTACCAAACCATCATTTTGCCTATAAAATAGATATTTGTGTAGATTCTAAATGCTTTATTTGACTTGGGTATGTTTGTCTTTCATGACCTCTCAGCTGGGTTTATTGAAGGTGTAATACCATTCTGTATGCCTTTGAGAGCTAAAATCCCAAGTAGGTATGGTCATTGTACAAAAGTCCAGCAAAGTCTTTCAGTAACAGTTTTGAGTATCCAATGCCATACTCACTCACTTACTTGCTCAAAAGGAAGTAGTGGCGAATCTGGAAAGAATTTTAAAACAGTGTTTTCTGTAATTAGCAGCCTGACAAAATGGTGCTGCTGCTTCCAGTTCTGTGAACTCCTTGCTTTTGTTAATTTCCTTACCATCAAATAAATAATTTAGAGCAAGGGATTAGAAAGAGTTATCTTAATAGTTTCTGAAAACCATTATTAGGCGGTCAAAATCTCTGCCTCTGCCCAGGCTTGAATATATTAGCTGCCTATAGACCACCATTTACATTAATTTCGTCTGAGGATGAGAGTGTGTGCCAGCACCAAAGAGCTTTTCTTCACAGGTGACAAGGGATGCTCTAGAATGATCTTAAAATAACACAGAAATAAAGTAGTCCAGACAGTGAGGATTATTTATCAGTTATCCATACAAACTGTAAAATGAAAGCATCTTCCATAGTTTTTCTTTAAAGGTTACGTTACGTAAGAGAAAAGTAGGACTTGGCATTTTCGTAAGCTTCAGATGCTGTTGGATGTAGCTCTGAGCTAGAGGTGGTTGAGGCCTTAAGTGTTTGTCTAGTTATGCTTTCTATTTATACTGCTGCTATGGGCCAGACAGAAACGCAGCTTTCAGTTAAGGACATTTTTCAAAAGGAAAATTTGTATTATGGCTTAAAATACCTGCCTCTTGAAAACAGGCCAGAGTGAATAAAAGACAGGAGCTAGTACTTCCTTATGCTTACCTAAATAGGGTATTGTACAGAATTTATTCATTCATCCTTCTGCAAGTTTGTTCTCCTTTCCTGTTCTTTAAGAGGAATGCAAATGCCAGAAATCTACAAGTTCAGAAATGTCCTTTGTTACTTCAGAAGAAAATCCCATTTACTCATTCCTGGCTTCAGAAGAGAAAAAGCTGAAAACCTCTATAAGTTTTGCCAGTGGAAGCGGAGTCAAATAGATGCTGCCTTTCTATTTCTCCCATTTTTAAATGTAGCTGTATTAGTGACTTAATTTCATGCGAGACGTAGGTTGCTCACTGTAAAAAAACAATGCTTTGGATATTCGATATGTGATACCGACAGATACAGGGTAAAAATGTAAGACCTGCCTGGCCAGAACAAGGACCAGTCCATCTGGGTATTTGGCCCCCAGGCTATGGCTAGGTACCTCCATGCCTAGAATTACGAGAAAATCTGTATTGTATGCAAACAAAATACCGTTTAAAATATGTGGTGTTTGGCACTGGGCTGAATTCCTGTCAGCCCGTATAGGCGATCAGCTGGTGCTCCAGATCTTGAGGTCTGAACATGTTAATTATGACCATGGGTCATAGTTACAATGAAGCAGTTTAAATAAGAAAAGGTGAACACTTAAAATGCGTGTAAAAATTGGGCAGATGAACGAATAAGAAATGGGCCAAATCCCGCTGAAGTGTTGCCGCTTTGAGTGCAGTTGTCGCCACTCCAGCCAGCAACGGCTCCACCACGCTGTTGTCGGAACTGGACTTGCCAAGAAAAGCAGAGAGAAAACTGCCGCCTTTGAAAGGTCTGGAAAATCCCTGGAAGTGCCGACCGCCAGACGGAGGGTGGGCCCGGGGCGGGGGACTGCACGGCAGT